TGATTCTTGACAAGTGTATCTTGTCTTTTTATGTACACTGAGAGCATATGCACCAAAGACAAATTCCTTGTGTGTCCTATCACACTTGGCCAATAAAAAATTCTATTCTATTCTATTCTATTCTATTCTATTCTATTCTATTCTATTCTATTCTAGTCTAGTCTATTCTAGTCTAGTCTAGTCTAGTCTAGTCTAGTCTAGTCTAGTCTAGTCTATTCTAGACTGATACAAAATGTAACTAAAGTACTGTTGTTGGAAGCAAAGTTTTTCAGTAAGTTTACATGAGTTGTACTGATTGCTGCTGGATTTAGGATCAACCTACTTATGTTCTGAGATATCCAGAAAGTTCACTATGAGATTGGATATGTGATGGGCATGAGAAGTAGGCCTTTTCAGAAAGAAAGAAAAGAATAACTTACTTTATATGACTTCCTCCTTTTGAACAAAATTTCTTTTCATCAGGTTTGATTTTAAGTTGTATAGAAAAAAAAAATCTTTTCTCTCTAACATACTTTCTACTTTTCATTCTCAATTGGCATTGCTGTTAATTCTCTCAGAGGAAAATGTATCCTGGCTGCTAAATATTGGCAGAACACAGAGAGATGGAGGAAAAAAAGTCTTACTAAGCAATCTCTATAATTTAGCTGAAGGTCTGTTCAGAATAGGTCAAGTCCTAGTTGTAATTTCTGAGAAAAGTGATAGTGAGAAGTCAAATTCTGAAGGGCTGAATTTTAAGTTCTTTGCATAATTATGCTTTCACAAAAATTAAAGAAGACTAGATCCTTGAAAGCATTTTGTTATATGAGATGGACACTGTTCTGAGATAAAAGTGGAAGCTTTTTTAACACACATTTCTATCCATTATGGGATTAAAAAGAAGCCTGCATGCTGCTGCTACAGTATACTCTATTAAATTTTCATGTCAGGTACAAGGTATTTTTTTCAACTAATTCAGAGCCTCAGCAGTCTTCTAAGAGTACAGCCATTACCATTGTAATTGAGTCAATCCATATCGCCGCTGGTCATCCTTTTCTTTTTCTTTCCATCTTTTCCAGTATTATGGAAACTGGGTCTTCGCATAATGGTCCAAAATAGAACCACTTAAGCCTTGTCCTGTGTATCTTGATTGAAATATTTGGATTGATCTGTTCTAATATCCTGGGTATCAATGCCCTTCTTGACTTTTTCCCAACACTAGTGTTCAGAAGTGTCAATATTCTTTCTAGCTTGCTTCTTTAAAATCGATGGTACTTTCATTTCCATAGAGTAGGGGTGTCAAACTCGCGTCGTCACAGCTTCTTCACATGATGTATCACGACTTGTTTCCCCTTTGCTAAACTGGGCATGGGTGTGGCCAGCACATGACCCATCTGACCTATGGGCCGCAAGTTTGACAGCCCTTCCATAGAGTGTCATAGGGAAAAGCATTGCCACAGATTCCAATATGGTCTCTCTCAATATTCAGTCAGCATATATATATAGAATAAATATGGAGAGAATATACTTATTGTCACACATTCTTGCTGGATGTCAAAACAGTCTGTTTTGCCATGTTCTGACTCTGCTGTGGCCTTTTCTCCTGGGTATGGGTTTCACCTAAGACCAATGAAAAATTCTGAAATTCCCATTTTCCAGAGGATATTCCATTAGTTGACATGGTCAACACAATCAAAGTGTTTTGTTACCCAGTTTGCTGGCATAGCTTAGTTTAAAATCTTCCTCTATTATAAATCTACATAATAAATCTGCCAGATCTTGTAGGGCTAGTGACAAGACATATCTGGGTAGACTGAATGCGACCACATGTTTGTTGGACCCGTGTCCCTCCTGGTTAGTGCTGGCTTCCCGGGAGGTTACGCGAGGCTGGCTCCCGGGGATTATAAATGCTTCACTGGGCGAGGGTGTCTTTCCCGCCGCCTTGAAAGAGGCGGTGGTGAGACCTCTCCTCAAGAAGCCTTCCCTGGACCCGGCAGCATTGGCTAATTATCGTCCAGTCTCCAACCTTCGCTTTGTGGCGAAAGTTGTTGAGAGCGTGGTAGCGCGACAGCTCCCCCAGTACCTGGATGAAACGATGTATCTAGATCCATTCCAGTCGGGCTTCAGGCCTGAGTACAGCACAGAAACGGCACTGGTCGCATTGGTGGATGATCTCTGGAGGGCTCGGGACAGGGGGTGCTCCTCTGTCCTGGTCCTGTTAGATCTCTCAGCGGCTTTTGATATCATCGACCATGGTATCATGCTGCACCGGTTGGAAGAGTTGGGGGTGGGAGGCACCATACTACTGTGGTTCTCCTCCTTTCTCTCTGACCGGTCGCAGTCTGTGTTGACAGGGGGGCAGAGGTTGACCCCGAGGCCCCTTATATGTGGGGTGCCACAAAGATCGGTCCTCTCGCCCCTTTTGTTCAACATTTATGTAAAGCCACTGGGCGAGATCATCCGTGGTTTCGGGGTGGAGTATCATCAGTATGCTGACGACACCCAGCTGTACATTTCCACCCCAGACCACTCCAACAATGCCCTTGAAGTGATGTCCCGGTGCCTGGAGGCCGTACGGATCTGGATGGGGAGAAACAGGCTCAGGCTCAACCTATCCAAGACCGAGTGGCTGTGGTTTCCGACGTCCCGATATAGTCAGCTGGTGCCATCGTTGACTATTGGGGGGTGAATCATTGGCCCTCACAGAAAGGACTCGCAACTTGGGTGTCCTCCTGAATTCACGGCTGTCTTTAGAAGAGCACTTGACGGCCGTGACCGGGAGGATTTTTCAACAGGTTCTCCTGATCCGCCAGTTGCGTCCCTTTCTAGATCGGGACTTCCTATGCATGGTCACTCATGCCCTCGTCACCTCCCGTCTGGATTATTGTAACGCTGTCTACATGGGGCTCCCCTTGAGGAGAACTCGGAGGCTCCAACTGGCACAGAGTGCGACCGCGTGGGTGGTAATGGGAGCGACGTGGCACTCCCATGTAACACTCCCAGTGGTCTTCCGAGTGCACTTCAAGATATTGGTTATCACCTTTAGAGCGCTCCATGGCTTAGGACCTGGTTACTTACAGGACCGCCTGCTACCACCAATAGCCTCCCACCGACCAGTACGCTCCCATAGAGAGGGGCTCCTCCGGGTGCCGTCGGCCAAACAATGTCGACTGGCGACCCCCAGGGGGAGAGCCTTCTCTGTGGGAGCACCTACTATCTGGAACGGGCTCCCCCCGGAGATACGGAGGATTTCCTCCGTCGTGCGCTCAAGATGTTCTTATTTCATCAAGCTGGCCTGACCTAAGTTTTTCCCCTTTTTAAATGGAAATTTTAAATTTGGTTTTAAATTATTGGGGTTTTAAATTTTCAGCCAAATTATTTAATTCATTTTATTTTATTTTAAATTTTGTATTTATATGTTTTATTCTATGGCTGTTCACCGTCCTGAGTCCTTCGGGAGTAGGGCGGTATACAAATTCAATAAAATAAATAAATAAATAAATAAATCTACCTCAGCCAAGATCTCTTTTAACAAATTAGTAGAAAACCCTTCTCTGCAGTTTTACTTGAATCAGCAGATAATGGCACAGCTGAAATTAAGCTAGCTGTTGATTGTTTGGGTCTAGTTGTCAGTTGCCAATTGCTATGCCAAGATTATTAATAGACAACAGACATACTCTTGTCCTGCATATTAAGATTAGGCTATCTGGAAGGTAAATGGCCACCTTTCCTATTAACGTGCCTAATAGTAATCAGGGAAAATCTTCATTCTGTTGCCTGCATTCAAATCAATCCACACAATACACCCAAGTATCCAATGTATGTTTTTTGCTCAGTTTAACATAGTTATAATTTGGAGGAGTTGGTACAAAATTGGGAACATCACTATCTCACTTTTCATCACATTGACTAAATGCATAAAAGGCAAAATTATGGAATAAGGCATATTAAATTCAGTGAGACTTCATTCAATAAAATCAAGCTTGGAAATGTACTGATAAGCATAGACCTGGCATGTGTTTGTTGATATCAGACCAATTAAATTAGAAGATTAGAGCCAAAGTAGTTCAACTGAAAGTAACATCGTGACTAACATTAAATGCAAATGTTGAAGAATTACTTGGGGATTAACCTTGCCAAATAATAGATGGATTCTATATCTATTCATCATCATACTTCATTAATGTGTTCTGAATAACAAGTTGAAATATCTGCTGTCAGCTGTAAAACAACTGTTCCATGAGCCAAAGATAACCAGACCATATTTGTTGTGTTCAATTCAGCCTAATATCTTTTTAGACTTTTTACTTTTGCCCCATTGAGATGTATTTATTTTACTTTGACTCTGGGAACAAGATTAATAGAATGCCTTACATGTAGTTAACAACCACAACAAATATATCTTATTTTATAAGACCCAAATATTTTTTTTGTCTTTTAATGACCCCATAATCCCTTGCATTGGGGTGGAGTCTGGGCAACTGAATGGAGCTGAGTATTTACTGGCTGGATGCCCTTCCTGTCACCAATGCAGGGTTCACAGTTGATATTTACTCATAGTGCCCAGAGAGGAAATACTTGCCACTACCTAGGATCAAACTCACAGCCTCCTGATTGTGAGGCAGGAGCTCCACCCCTAGGCCACTGCGCCACTCTTATAGGACCCGAATATGACTGTCTAAAATATTTGGCACAAAAGAATGGAAGCAAGAGGAAGATAAGCAACATTAGATTTTAATTCTTAAGACAATAAGGAAGAAGAGAAACAGTTGAGAGGGGAATAAATGTCTGTTGCGTCTCATTTTTTTTGCATATTATAAAACAGCTGTAAAATTATGCTGGTGGGGAAAAAGGATGCTAACAAAGCTGATTCTTAGAAAAGTTGATGAAGTAAGCCTCGTTTATATTACTCTCTTCTTCCTGCAGCCCTTAAGTTAATTACATTGTCATATGCTAGTAAAGACCCGTTTCCAGATATTTTTTTTCTAATAGATACTTCCCATTTGTTTGGGTTTTTTTGATAGCGGAAGATGCATGCGGAGGAACAATGAGGGGATCCAGTGGTGTCATCTCTAGTCCTAATTTTCCAAATGAGTACCATAATAATGCAGACTGTACATGGACAATTGTGGCAGAACCTGGAGACACCATCTCACTCATCTTTACGGATTTTCATATGGAAGAGAAATACGATTACCTGGAAATAGAAGGTTCTGAACCACCCACAATATGGTAAGTAAAATCATTTGTATTAAAAATGGCAGCAAATTCCTTCTGGATAATAGCACAAAGGTGTATGATTTTTCCATGGTTTCATGTAAACATCCGAACAAGACTTTTAGTGAGCTTAGGTAAAACAATATAAGTAGCTCTCAAATTATGACCACAGTTGGAATCAGAATTTCCATTGCTACGTAAGGTGATTGTTAAGTGTTCAATTTTACAACATTTATGTCATAAGTTGTAAGTTATGTGAGTTGTTAAGCAAATCACTGCAGTTGTTAAGTGAACTATGCAGTCATTGAGCAAATTTGACTTCACCCATTGGCATTGCTTGTTGGAAAACCAGAAGATGACAACTAGCAATTATATAATCCTAAAATGCTACAGCCATCATAAATACATTGGTTGCCAAGTGCCCAAGTTTTGATCATATGACCATATGACAGTCATACATGTGACGACCAGTTACTTGTTTTTTCAGTGCTATTAATACTTCAAACTGTTGCCAAACAAATTACTGTAAATCAAGGACTGCCTGTAGTTGGAACCGAATAAATAATTCCTACTTGAAGCTGTTTGTTGAAGTTTAGCAATGTCATTTTACCTTTGTTTTGGTTTACTGAGGATTTTTTGCATTGGATATGCTTTTGTAAATTTATTTTAAAGTTCACTTAAAAAAAATAAGGTTACTTCTTTTTTTCCTTCTGTGGGTGAGCATCCAGCTGTGATATAGTTTAATTATTATTTGTAACATCTTCCTAAATGACTCTATCTAATTCACTATTTGCAAGTGTGTAAGTATGTGTGTATAGATAGCTTGATGATAGATGATGGCCAGCTAGCTAGATTGATAGAGGAGGGAAGGAGGGTGCCAGGGAGGGAGAGATATGGAGGGAGGGAGGGAGGGAGGGAGGGAGGGAGGGAGGGAGGGAGGGATAGATAGATAGATAGATAGATAGATAGATAGATAGATAGATAGGATAGATAGATAGATAGATAGATATATAGGAGGGAGGGAGGAGGGGAGCAGGGAGGGAGAGCTAGATAGATGGGTGGGTGGGTGGAGGGAGAGAGAGGGAGAGATAGATGTATGTATGTATGTATGGATAATGATAGATAGATAGATAGATAGATAGATAGATAGATAGATATAGATGGATAGATGGATAGATGGATAGATGGATAGATGGATAGATAGATAGGCATAGCATAGCATAGCATAGCATAGCATAGCATAGCAGAGCAGCCATATTTGGGGAAAATCATGGCTAGTATGAATATTCTGGTCAGTGAAAGGTGCTATTAATGTTGGACTTTTCTGAAAATCTGTGATCAGTTTTAGTTCTATGGGTGAGCTGGGATTCTGACCACCAGCTTAATCAACTCAATTATACTGTAAAAAACATCTAGCCATATGCTAAATAAATATTCCAGCTGCTGTCTAAAAGATAATTAATTGCTACTAATTAGATTGACTTTGCATAGTTTAATGCTTCTCCAAGATAAGAAATGCACATCCTTTTTTTAAAAAAATGAAATTAATAATGATCACAGAAAAGTAATAGGTTTATTTTCTACCTCTTGTGTAGTTTATGCTTGATGTACAGTATAGATATGCTAATAGTCTTTTGTCTACCTAGCCTAAGAATTTGGAAATCAATTTCAATTTGACAAGTATTGATAGTGATTGGGTTTGTGTAATTTTGCAAATTTCAAATTTGTGCCTAATTCCCCCAATTGTGTTTTGTATAATATGAATCAGAGTTACATTTTATTATTTTGCATGTTTATCTGCTGATTAAAGGGATCATAAAAGACTATAATGTTATTACCATTAAAATATATTCTTATACTGTATTTTTACTATTTTTTTTCATATTGGAGGGATGACAGTGATTTCGTTTTGATTTTTTCTTTTACTTTCTAAGACATTAGAAATATATAGTTATTATGATGTGATTACCATTGCTTTCATTTTTCAATTAATGTGAAATCTGATGTTATCAGATATTTGTGCTATATTTATTAATCTCTAATATGCCAAATGTAGAAGAACAGTAAATGATAGTGGTTGCATCACAAATGTACAATTTGCTTTTCAGAGTACCCTATCTGAGTGGACTTTTAATTATATTTTTATTGTATAACAAAAATAACATATATTGAATTAGTTATCTGATCAATATTTCTTGCAATATATTAATATATAATAAAATTATTGTTATAAAAAATTGCATTTAAATTTTGTAAAGTCACAAAATCAGTATAAAACGACACTTGGAAGGAAAATGTTTATATATTCTTTTTGGGAAACTGCATAATATTTATGATATCCTTTCATTACCAGGAATACTCTTACTATTTCAAATAAGGCCATACTGCAATATTAATTTGCAAGTAGATATTATTGTGTGGTATATAATTAAGATATTTATGTTCTGTGGACCAATGGTATAACTGAAATTGACTACTGAAATGGAAGTAAAGTTTTGAACAATAAAGTACTGTTGATTAATGAATTGAATTGTTTGAAAGTAGGCCATGGTTCTTTAATCTTATTTGGTCAGTTGTTATGTATACTCTATAATAACCTAAATTCAAAATCTTGGACGTCTCATTCAATAGGACCCACATTTTGCCAGAGATTGCAAAAACCTAACTACCTAATGGAAAACTTAATGAAATATAAATGTATCAATAGTTACTAATCAGAACTACAAAATCCTTCATGCATGTTAAACATCCATTTTAGTGTTCATACGAAAATATTATTAGGAATCTAGTAAGGGGGTGCGGTAGCACAGTGGCTTTGATGGTCGGCACTCTTGGGCCACAGATGGTTGGCACTCTGGCAGTTCAAACCCATGACAAATGCGTTACAGAGTGTGCTCCCATCATTTGACCCTAGCTCATGCCCACCTAGCAGTTCAAAAACATATAAAAATGCCAGTAGATAAATAGGTACCACTTAGTTAGGAAAAAGGATGTGGTGGCTCAGTGGCTAAGACGCTGAGCTTGTCGATCGGAAGGTCGGCAGTTCAACAGTTCAAATCCCTAGTTCTGCGTAATAGGTGAGCTCCCATTACTTGTCCCAGCTTCTGCCAACCTAGCAGTTTGAAAGCACATAAAAAATGCAAGTAGAAAAATAGGGACCACCTTTGGTGGTAAGGTAACAGTGTTCTATGCATCTTTGGCATTTAGTCATGCTGGCCACGGACCACGGAGACGTCTTCAGAGAGTGCTGGCTCTTCGGTTTTGAAATGGAGATGAGCACCACCCTCTAGAGTTGGGAATGACTAGCACATATGTGCGAGGGGAACCTTTATCTTTACTTAGTTAGGAAAAGCTAGCAGCGTTTCATGTGGAAGTAGGAGCCAGTGCTGCACCTGCCTGTATACGAGGCGAGATTGGCGGAAGAAAGCCTAGATGACCTGATATCCCCTAAATGTTGCTAGCCAGCTGGTGCATAGCTAGCTTGCCCCTTGTGGTATATTTTGGTATCACACATGCATTAACCAAATGAACTGACAATGTTGGGCTGCTAAAACTTCTCTGTGATAAAAAAACAAAACAAAAACATTGTAGATTTGCCTGGCTATGTACCCCATATGGTAAAACAAAATAAAGAAATTAGGTATTTAGTACTAAACTGTGAGTTAGTTGGCTTTGCTCCTCAGTTTAATAAAATCAATGGCACAGATCAAATCTTTGCTCTCAAAGGACCAGCTAAAGCAGATAATATTAGGCTAGGCAAAGCATGAATAAGATAGCTTTCTTATTTCTCAAAATGTAATTAATTTCACTGAGTTCTTTCTAATGGAAATATTGCACTGGAAGCGAGGATAAATACAGTTTAGATGAGAAGAATCAAACCAGCCCTGAAGTGAGAACATTAGGAATAAAGTATTTCAACAAAATCTGCCTTAAACAACTCACCATGAGTCTGGCTGGGGATTTACACTTACACTTTTCAGGGTTATGTTTTTACCTCAGGCTAGCATTAAAGATGCCTTTCTGAAACTTGTATGTTTCTTGCTTCTTTGGTTTGGGAGCTACATGGAGTTTGACAGTGAAATGATGTCAGGTGTTACTAACACTTCATCTGTAAATTTTTTTTAATTTGTACTGCTGCGCAGCGATATGCATTTCTGAAAGCATGTTTGAAAACGGTAAGCTGAAATAAATTGAAGACACTCATCATAGAGTCAGTTAGATTCGACTCGAAACAATTCCGCTGCCATGGATTTTTTAGATGGAAAAAGAAAGTTTATTTGTGCTTTTATGGTTTTAATTGCTATATTGTTTGCTGCCCCAGAGGCAATTGGACTGAGATGGGCAGCTACAGAAATTGAATAAAATAATTAAATAAAAGCTACGGTCCTCCAGTTGGATTTGGGATTCCAGTTATTGCCACAGACAGTAGTCTGAGATGACAACCTCAAATAATATTTAAAAGGCCACAGATGTTTCAGTTTCTCCTCAGATCCAAGGTGCTCTGCATACTTTCAGTTTTAATGACTGCTATAGCAAGATTATTCACATCCCCACTTAAATGAGTCAATTATCCATGGTGAAAAGATTCAGATTTGTCAATGATTTCTCACACAATTACACTGTTTAGACATATCTCTAGCCTAATTATTTTAAAAGCCTAATTTACTCCAGTCATTAGTGGGATTAAAAAAAAATACTATACATCATTTGTCTTTTGTACAGCAATTTGGCAACTTTATCCTATACTTGAAAAACATGTTGTTTTGTTTTCTTCATTTTTTTAAGAATGGAAGATGTTTAGATGAGTGAGATGGTTAAAGATATACAGATCAAAACAGTTTTGTTTCCCAAGTACATTCTATAAACTATAACACAGAATTAAAATGCTAATTTAATAATGGCTAATTTGAAGTTGCAGATTGAAGGAACACTCTATCCTAAGCATGTCATTCATATTGTGGGATGAGATCAATGTATTTAGTTATGCAAAAGCACCTCACCATATGTTAGGGAAA